CAGCTTCCTCTGGCGGCAGCTTTCGCAAGCGGCTTGAGCAAGGCGTCTGGACAGGCCTGGCTGTCCAGATTGCTTCAGAAACTATTGCACTGTTGCGTCAAGCGCAGCTGCTGTTTCTGGGCACTAAGTGTGTCTTCCAAGTTGCACATCGTTCCCTACTCCCCAAGCAGCTTCGTTCAGAGGGGCCCCGCGAAAACAGGCCCGGGGTCCAGTTTAAATCACCAATTGGTGAATCTGTTGCTGCTCCCGTGCCTTGCCTTCAGTCTAGCAGGCCATGGATGAGAAAGTGGGACAAACAAACAAACACACACACCCAAATTCCTTGCTCTTTCTCCCATCCAGCCCACCCGAAGTTACGCTCTTTCTCGTCCCCACCCCAGCGCCGCAGCTAGGGGGTGGGGAGGAAGGCCCCCAAGAAGGCCCCCACTAGGGGTGCAGGTGAGGGGGGGCACAAAATCAGCTTAAAAATATGTCCATAAATATGTCTATAAATAAAAATATTGATTATTGCCTCATAATTGTTGTTTTTGTTGTTTAGTCGCTTAGTCGTGTCTGTCTCTTCGTGACCCCCTGGACCAGAGCACGCCAGGCACTCCTGTCTTCCACTGCCTCCCTCAGTTTGGTCAGACTCATGCTGGTAGCTTCGGGAACACTGTCCAACCATCTCGTCCTCTGTCGTCCCCTTCTCCTTGTGCCCTCCATCTTTCCCAACATCAGGGTCTTTTCCAGGGAGTCTTCTCTTCTCATGAGGCGGCCAAAGTATTGGAGCCTCAGCTTCAGGATCTGTCCTTCCAGTGAGCACTCAGGGCTGATTTCCTTCAGAATGGAGAGGTTTGGTCTTCTTGCAGTCCATGGGACTCTCAAGAGTCTCCTCCAGCACCAGCATCCATTCTTCGGCGATCAGCCTTCTTTATGGTCCAGCTCTCACTTCCATACATCACTACTGGGAAAACCATAGCTTTAACTATACAGACCTTTGTTGGCAAGGTGATGTCTCTACTTTTTAAGATGCTGTCTAGGTTTGTCATTGCTTTGCTCCCAAGAAGCAGGAGCCTCATAATAAAAGGTTTTAAATAGTGGGTCTTTGTGATATGTGAGGGCCCTGTTTTTCCCTATTTTTTCCTGTGCCACATTCCTAGGGGGTACAATCTGGATCAGGGGTAGGCAACCTAAGGCCTGTGGGCTGGATCTGGCCCAATTGCCTTCTAAATCCGGCCCACAGACAGTCCTGGGAATCTGCATGTTTTTACATGAGCAGAATGTGTCCTTTTATTTAAAATGCATCTCTGGGTTATTTGTAGGGCATAGGAATTCGTTCATTTTTTCCCTTCAAAATATAATCTGGCCCACCACATGGTCTGAAGGACGGTGGACTGGCCCACGGCTGAAAAAGGATGCTGACCCCTGATCTGGATGCTTCTGCCAGGGGCGCAAGTTCACCTAGCTACAGCTCTGCCCCACTCCACCCCAATTCCTCATTCCTTCTCTCACCCATCCCAATGGAAGCCATGTTCTTTCTCACCTCCACCCACCCGATCTTCTTGCTGCAAGCACCCCCACCCGCCACCTTAATAATAAATAATAATAATATTTTATTTTTACCCAGCCCTTCCCGGTTCAAAAACCAGGCTCAGGGTGGCTAACAACAAATTTAAAACACTTAATTATAAAAGCAGCGTAAAATACAGTATAAAAACATGAATAACAATAAAATTCAAAAATCAACTAGATAATCCCCAGGGCTAGCTGGCTGAATTGGTCCTACTTGGGCCAGCGATGAGGCCTTGGGGTCTCAGAGCGGGTGATCTTCATAAAAGGGGAGGGGGAGGGAAGAGAAGGGAAATAAAAGATCAGGCTGAATTCAGATTAAAGGCCAGGCGGAATAGCTCTGTCTTACAGGCCCGGCAGAAGGAGGTTAAATCCTCAAGGGCCCTGGTTTCATGGGACAGAGCATTCCACCAGGTCGGAGCCATCACTGAAAAGGCCCCGGCCCTGAAAAGGCCCTTACTAGCTGTCTCTCAGCCACCGTCGCCACGGCAGCTAGGCCTCGGCCATAGGGCTTCTCCTGGCCTCTTCTGCCTCACTGCAGCTGGAAGAAGCGGCGTTCCTGCTTCCAGAAGTGTGTTTCTGGATATGCTGTGCCCAATTCTGGATGTGTGGTGGCAGAGGCCATGACAGAGGCTGCCATGACAGCCACAGCCACCCCAGAGGAGGCAGTAGAAGCAAGGAAGTGGAAGCGAGACATCCCAGGATTCAAACAGAAGCGGCCATGACTACTTTGAATCTTGTGAAGTCCCACTCCATTTGGGACTACTGAGTGGAATGACATGTTGGCTCTCTTACCAAACTTTTCTGTTCAAACTTTTCCATCCTTTTGATCCTTCTGCTGTGGCCTCCTTTTTTTTGCTTAGGTTTGTGACCCACCCAGATGGTTGCTGGACTTACTGTTGACGCTGCCATGTTTCTCAGGTGGAAGAAAACTTGACTGCCTCTTTTGCACCCTCAGTTCTTGCAATCTGGAATATGCCAAGAGATCATTTTTACATGTGGACTTTTAATGCAGTCACTGCTAACTTCTGTGTTTTATGACGGTTTCCAACCAAGGACGAAAACATTTTCTTTTGCAAGAGACTAAATGCGTCCCGGTGGAAGAGCTTTAATGATCACGAGTTTGATTCCAGGGGCAGGGCTTTTGTTTTCCTCTTCTGCCTTGAATGTAACCATGTGTGGAAAAACTGAGCAGCCAAAGTTCTGTTTGCAACTTCGTCTGGCTGTGTTTCCCAGTGATGCTTTAGCCCAGCTTTAAATTCATGCTTTACATCATCTTTGCCTTGAATTGAGCTAAGAGTTAAAAAAACATGTTGAAGCCCACAGAATCATCAACAAGAGATTGTGGCACTTAACTTTGGAATTCTTCAAATTAGTGTACTCCTGTTACTTCTCTCCTTCGAAATTATTTAATGTGCCTTTCAGGAAAATAAAACATCCTCTTGGGTCTTTTAAAATCCCGTCTTTTAAAAATGAAAGATAGAAAATCCAAATACTGACTCCTCTCTTTTGGGGGAATTTCCAGCAGCAGAATACCACATTCCCTTGGCTTGATTTATTAATAGTTTTAATTTTTTCTTCTCCGATAAATATGATTAAAGTGTGAGATTCAGAGTCTCATGCTCTATTGAATGAGCTATCAGTTTGAAACAAACAACAGCACATATATAAAATAAGTTCAGATCCAACACAGGCACCAACTGTGAATAAAAACTATCCATTTAGAAAGCACCTGTCTGATACATAAAGGGAGGGATATGGTTTCTATTATGTAGTTTCTGTTTAGCAAAGAGGCAGTGGAACCCAACCCATTATTAACCCTAGAGAACAAGCCAAACTCCCTCCCCCAACCTCCCCAGCCCTGTGGGGCTTTACAAAGCAGCACGGGCATCACTGCATCTACAGTCCTTCTGCGTGTGGACAGGCCAATTATGACAGCCATCCCTAAGCAGGTTCAACACGCAGGGCCGTCTTACCCATAGGTGCTGGGGTGCGGGGCACCCAGGCGCGGGGCTCTCAGGGGCGCCAGGCCAAGAGTCCGGGGCCCAAGAGTTGAGTCCGGGGAAGAGCCCGCCCGTCGGCCAGAGCACCATGGCAGGCTCTTCTGCTGCGGGCGGCTCTGTGCCACGAGTTTGAGGCCGACCGAGCCAGCAAGACGCTGAGGCAGCCAACCAGTTCTGCCCTCCTGTGTGCCTGGGACTGGGCAACCTGGGGGGGGGGGCAATGGGCAGATCTTTGCACCCCAGTGCCACATATGCTTAAGACAGCCCTGTCAACACGTGCCTTACTTTACAGAGGAATCATAGAATCATACAGCTGGAAGAGGCCCTGAGGATCATCTTTTTTAATTTATTTATTTTATTAAGAATTTTAACAGTAACAATTTATCAAAAACATATCATCCTCATTCCCCCCCCATTTCCCCCCTCCCCAAACCAGAACCCCCTTTCCCACACACCCCCAGACTTCCCTCAGCTCCTCTCTCTGGTTTTTCAGCACACGTTAATCTCTGCATATTATAGAATTGTAAAGATCCTTAATTTATCTATCTATATGTTACCAATAGGGACAGTGGGATGCGGGTGGTGCTGTGGGTTAAACCACAGAGCCTAGGACTTGCTGATCAAAAGGTCGGCGGTTCAAATCCCTGCGACGGGGTGAGCTCCCGTTGCTCGGTCCCTGCTCCTGCCAATCTAGCAGTTCGAAAGCACGTCAGAGTGCAAGTAGATAAATAGGCACCGCTCCAGCGGGAAGGTAAACGCCGTTTCCGTGCGCTGCTCTGGTTCGCCAGAAGCGGCTTAGTCATGCTGGCCACATGACCCGGAAGCTGTACGCCGGCTCCCTCGGCCAATAAAGCGAGATGAGCGCCGCAACCCCAGAGTCGTCCGCAACTGGACCTAATGGTCAGGGGTCCCTTTACTTTACCTTTTATGTAACCAGTAATAAATTTGTGTATGTTTATTCAAAACGTGCCAAGGAGTCCAGCTCAGAGGTCTTGAGGATCATCTAGTCTAGGGTTGCCATCTTTCAAAAAGCTCTATTAGGAAGAGCCCGAAATTGCTGAGCCTTTTATAAAAAGAAAACCACCAGAATTGCTGAGCCGCTTTTCGAATGGCTTGCCTAACATCCGGCAAAATCCAGCAGCCCTCTGTTTGAAGTGGTTTGGAGAGCCTAGCTGTTGTGCCGGCAACTTTGTCACAAATAGTAGTACCACCAGGACTGTGTGTGTGTGTGTGTGTGTGTGTGTGTGTGTGTGTTTGTTTACATGCACCCACCCACCGCCGTGAGTGGATCCCTCTCCCGCTTACTCCAAATATCTTGCTCTCTGACTCACTTTGCCCTTGTGGTTATTCTCTGCCTCGGAGGATCATATGCCATTAAGAGGCAGGCTGTTTACTGCTGGGAGACCCACCCTAGCCTCAGGTGGGTGGGGCATGCATATATATAGCACAGATGAAATGAACCCCTTCACTGACTCATAGCCACAGGGATTGCTCCTCTTGGAAAATCTGCCATTCCCAACTCTTCTCAGCTCAGCAGCTACATGATGGCCAGACTCCTTGTCCTGTGTGTTGCAGTTCTTGCCTGCATCAGTATTGGTAAGGCAAACATCCATCTTTATCCCTGTTCTTGTATATTTCCTAATGGATTTATTTCTCATCTCTTTACCTTGCTGCAACCCCAAAATTCCTTTACTTTGTGGCTTGCCAGAATCTTTTTAACTAGGAACAATTCCTCATTCAACTGACCAAACTAGGAAATGTACCAGCAGGGAGAGCAAACTCTTTATTATTGGTAGAAATATTCTCATAAGGGGGGGGGGGTTCAAAGGTATTGCCCTTTATATATTTGGGCAGGGGGTAACTGTCACCAAAGCTGTCATTCCCTTAGCTGCTCGATAAGAGTGGTAGAAAACTTCTGCTTTTGTGGCAAACTATGTGCTTCCCACTATATCTGACCTGGATAAAGAAATAAGTTGTTGTTTTTTAAAAATTGGATGGATTCAACAAAATGGGAAGGAAGGGAAAAGGTGTGTCAAATAAAGGCTTGACCTTTTTTAAAAAAAACAACAACCCCTCCAAACTGGAAAGCTCTAAGGAAGACAGGAAACAAGGGCAAAAAAAAAAAAACCCCACTACCTAAATAAATTTCACACCGGATTATTTGTGAGCATATGTACAATATTTTTGAATGCGATGTTGTGCAAATATTTTGTAAGTCACTTTGCGAGCCCCTTGAGGCTATAAACTGGGATGGAAGTATTCTCAATAAATACATTAAAATAGCTCTACATTGCAAACTAAAAGGGGAAAAAATGGGCTCAGTGCCATCCCTTAGAAAACAAAAGAGTCCCAGTCTCCTGGGTTTTGGCTACTAAACAGCAAACCTTGATTCTAGCACCTCTTTCCCCGAATCTTATCTTTGAGTTGTCAGGGTGGTCTGCCTCCTCCTTATCTTTGAGTTGCCAGAGTCGTGCCCTGCAGATGTTTTGAACTACAACTCCTACCAGCTCAGAGGGTTCACCTCTGTTAGTTTTTGGCAGGAAAAAAGTGTCTTCTTGTGGCATCTTAAAGACACAAAAAGATTTGTGGCTCTAACTGTTGTGCATCTCTTGAACTGGGTTCTAATCTACAAAAGCTTAAGCCACAGTATAAGCCAATGTTGTGATGTTGTCAGCTGCTGCCCCTGGGGTCACACTGGTGACAGAAGACTGGGAGAGCTATATTTTGACCATAAACAAAAAAACAAAGAAATCTGTTATCCTTAAAGTTGCCACAAGACTCTCTCAGGGCAAAACTTTCTCACTTGTCAAGACTGATCGATCTGAAAGTCACCCAAGGTGGATTAAGACATGCATACAGATTTTTGGGTGGTATCCATGTAAGCCTTGCTCAGAGTAAACCCTATTGATATGAATGCACATGACTCAGTTTTCTCCATTGGATGGGGTGGGTCTACTCTGAGTAAACCTTACTTGACTACCACCCATTCCCCCCAAAATATATTCCAGTGGCCATTTGAAGAGGTGATTTGCTTCGCTTTTTTGCACAGGATATTGGCCCGAATATAAGCCACACCCAAATATAAGCCGCACCTTAACTTTTCATGGTCGGAGTTTGGAGGGGGGGGGAGCGAGGCTTGCATTCAGGCCAATACAGTAGTTAAGCTGTGGGGTTTGCTCCTGTAATAGGTAGTGGTGGCCCCTAACTTGGGTGGCCATAAAAAAGGACCAGACAAACTCATGGCAATCGCTACCTACTAATCATAATGGCTGTGTTCTACCTCCATTGTCAGAGCTGGAATGCACAGGTGCTTGGGAATCACTGGTGTGGATTGAGCACTGTTGCACCCAGCCCTTACTCGCTGGCTTCCCATAGACATCTGGTTGTCCACTGACCTAAGAAGAGGATGGTGAAAAACATGGGGCCCCTTTGACCTTTGATCCAGCAGTGCTCTTCTTGTGTTCTTCTGCCCCTCTGGCCATTTGGGGGTGGTCTCCAAAGACCACTTGCACAGGCAACCGATGACCTTACTGCAATGTGTCCCTATTGCAATTCAGAAAAAAGCAAGGCATCCCAATGTCCCCTACGTCATTCATTTTTGCAAGTCCTGTGTCCGTGTTTTGTTTTTGTAACAGCACCACCAATTGGTCACCTCCCTATTGGGATCACCCCCAAACCTCCACATTTCTACTGTGCCAAATACCATATTTTTCCGTGCATAACACGCCCCTGTGTATAAGACGCCCCCTATTTTGGGGGACTCGAAATTAAGAAATTGGGGGTGGGGATTGCCCAGAGTTGCTGAATCACCCGCACTCCTGTCGCTGGCAATCTCCTGCTCCCGGCAGCAACCAATCCCAGGTCCCCACTCATATATCCATGTATATGAAGACCCCAAATTTTAAACATTATTCTAACGTACTAAAACCTCGTCTTTTACATGGAAAACTACAGGTCATTTGCCTCCCTGATGCTGCCTTGCCCCACCCTGCTTTTTAAGAGTCGCGGCTTTGAAACTCTCTTTGAAACTGTTGAGAAAGCACGGGGAAATAAGTTTAGGAGCTTAAGGGAAAAGTGGGCAGGTGGAGAGCTTGAAGGCATTGGACTTAAGATGGAACGGGGGGGGGGGAGTCATAATCAGGTAACAAGTTTCTTTTTTAAAAAAGAGAAAAGAGGAATGCCACAGACAAGACAAAGGATATATTGTGGAGTCTCTAGAGAGGGTGGGGATCTTTAGAAACAGGCAAAACACCCATCAGGGATGGGCAGGGATAGCTCCCATGTTTAAAGACTAGTTAACAAAATGCATATCCAAACATGTAGCTTTCTGGTTCCTCTTCTTAAGACATCTATTTTTCCTTCCCCAACACCATTACTCACACCATGGTCAGCCAACTTGAGAAAAAAGAAGACGAAGAAGAGTCGGAAAAAACCAGGGGGTTTTTCTCCTTCCCCAAGCACTTCTTCTTCCTTTAACAATGGGCGAGGGTGTCTAAAAGTCTTGAGCCAACCTTAAGATTACCAAACGTATTGCAGCGTTGTGTAGGCAAGGCTTCCTCCCTGGAAGTAATCGTAAGTGGGTGTTCACGCAGGAAAGTTGACATTCCAGTAAAAAGGACTAGCCCTTAGGGTGCCACACAAAACTTTTGGAACTGAGGGATATTCCACGCTTCTGCCTGCCCCGATTCTAGACAACGCAGGTCTGAGCGGTTTCCCACTTGAACCATTCCTTTCCGAGGGACATCGCGATTGTTACTTGCTCCGATCTGAGCACTAAATAGCCGTTTCCCCCTCAGGGGAAAGCAGTGGGATAAACGTTTATTCACGGTTTCAGCCCACACCATTCCAGATTATGCTCTTGAGTTTTTATAGGTGTTTTGAAATACAGGGCTGAGAATGCAGACCTTTGACAATTGTTTCCTTAGCACTTCAGTAAAAACAGGATAGTTTTTCGGGGGGTTTTAAACTCGCCCTCAGCATTCACATTTCTGCTGAAATTCAGAAGTTGGCCTCGTTTTTTTCTATTGGCAGATGTGAATTCAAAATTCTTTGTGAGGGAAAATAATAATAATAATAATAATAATAATAATAATAATAATAATAATGTATTATTTATACCCCGCCCATCTGGCTGGGTTTCCCCAGCCACTCTGGGCAGCTCCCAACAGAATATTAAAAACACAATAAAACATCAGTCATTAAAAACCTCCCTAAACAGGGCTGCCTTCAGATGTCTTCTCAAAGTCAGATAGTTGTTTATTTCTTTCACATCTTGTGGGAGGGCATTCCACAGGGCGGGTGCCACTGCCAAGAAGGCCCTCTGCCTGCTTCCGTGTAACATCACTTCTCACAGGGAGGGAACCGCCAGAAGGCCCTCAGAGCTGGACCTCAGTGTCTGGGCTGAACGATGGGGGTGGAGACGCTCCTTCAGGTAGTCTCATTCTATGATAGCTCTCTGCCCTACAGTGGAGGGCATGGATAAGGGAAATTTGGTAGACGGGTGGGTGGGTGAGAGCATTGTCAGTGTGGGTGCCTTGACAGTTGACTCTGAGAACGCAGGAAGGCCTAACAATCCTTATAATCTAAGGTGTAGCAAAGGCTGTTATTTAGATGTTTGTATGTTGTATACTAACATGAGTTTGACCAAACTGTGGGAGGCAGTGGAAGACAGGAGTGCCTGGTTTGCTCTGACCCATGGGGTCACAAAGAGTTGGACACAACTAAATGACTAAACAACAAAACAACAAATGTTGTATATCTTGCTTATCTCCCTTCTCATAACACTAGAACTCATTGACAATGAACTCATTTAATGAAGATTAAGGTCTCCCACGAGACATGGTGATGGCCATAGACAGGATTAGGCAGATTCCTGGAAGATACAGCTATTAGTGCCTCCTAGACCCAATACCTCTGTTCTTCCTACACTGTCTGCATGCCTCCCAACATTGTTGTTGTTGTTTAGTCGTTTAGTCATTTCCGACTCTTTCATGCTGATAGCTTCAAGAACACCGTCCAACCATCTCATCCTCTGTCATCCCCTTCTCCTTGTGCCCTCTATCTTTCCCAACATCAGGGTCTTTTCCAGGGAGTCGTCTCTTCTCATGAGGTGGCCAAAGTATTGGAGCCTCAGCTTCAGGATCTGTCCTTCCAGTGAGCACTCAGGGCTGATTTCCTTCAGAATGGAGAGGTTTGATCTTCTTGCAGTCCATGGGACTCTCAAGAGTCTCCTCCAGCATCTCCCAACATTAGCTGCTCAGAATTACAAGTGGGAAGAGCCTCATTTCTCTTCGGTTGACCACTGTGAGGTCAGGCTACAGGACTAAATGGGACTTTGGCCTAATCTCGTTGGGCTTCTCTTCCGTTCTTACGCCACGCAAAGTGGTTCGTGTCAGGAAGCAAAAGAACAAGATGCAAATTTCGCAATTGCGAATGCGGGAAAGAAGCGATGGGTTGTATAACCAGCTACGTCAAGGGTGCGGAACTGGATCCAGACAGCAAGCCAGAACCTGACATCCCCTAATACCTATGTTTGCCAGGCAGGGCCGCTTACCTGTCAATTGCCCAATGTCACAATGAACTGTTCTTCTTTTGCA